GATGCAGCTTCTTAAGCAATATCCCTTAGCAAAATGACTGTAATTCTGCTTTCAGTGGAATCTACCTCCTCCCTGAAGGAGGTAGATTCCACTGATTCTCTCCCCACTTTTCAAAACAGGCCAGTATTTCCCCAACTTGCTGACTTGCTTCAGCTTGCTTTTCAGCCCTTCTGAAGTGTGATCCAAATCCCCTTGGTTAGGAAGGCAATCCAACAATCTCCCTCAACCACCAAGAACTAGCCCATCTTTCAGTAATCTCATCACTGTAGCAGGATTCAAGAAATTAAATTGCAGTTAGTGAATTTAATCATACTGCAGACAAAGGAGTTTACTCCACAAGTGTGAAATACTGGCTACTACCTGAGCTGAGACACATAAATAACTTTAACTGGTTTTTATAAAATGCAAAATAGCAGCAAAATACTACTCTTCAGCTATTTTTGAAAGCTATCATTTTTACCATTTGTACTGCACTTAATGACATCCTTATTAACAGCAAAGTATGTGTGCTCTGCATGGAATGTCCTCTGGCTGTCTGCTCTGTTTCTGCTTCTCTTCCAATTCTTCTTTCCTGTCCATCTCCTGTCCAGGGTCCACAGTCTCCCCTGGGATTATTCAAAGATCTTTCCAAAAGCAGGAAACACTTCTAAAATGCTGAGAAATACTTCTAAAACACTGCCAGGAAGCAGCTTCAGTCACAAATCTGCCTGAGAGTTAATCTGAAGGTGGACTGGTTTTTAACCAGGCTGTAGCCATCAGATGTGGTCAGGATACAGATACACTCCTGGAGAGCAAGCCCAGCACTATTTTTATTCTGTTTACTCTGTTCTCCCTACAGTCCATCAACACTGTAGCTGCTGGAAGCACCAAGACAACACAACCCACTCTTCAATAAGTCATCACAATCAGGAGCTGGGAAGACTTTCCTATACCTTTAGGCAAAGCCACATAATTTATGTAACCTCAAATAGAACTGTAAAAGGGAAACAGTCAAAGTTACTTGTGCTCAGCAGTAGGTTTTTAAGCACTTCATCACTGATGATTTTTAAAAGGTCATACAGGTCACACTGCCCTAATAGCATTAAAGCTACACTTGACAAGCTCACATTCAGAGCCTCTTGTCCCAGCCACAAGTTTGTGATAAATCAGGTCTGAATTATCTCTTCTAAACAACAGCTTACACAGGTAAGCAACTACAGAAAGATTAATTCAGATCTAATTTACCTACACATATTACCAATTCAAGTTATATATATAAAGGCGAGGGCCAGATTTAGTCTCAGATGGAGCAGCTGTATCTGACTATGTGAAATCAACTTAAATAACCAGATGGCACACACTGTGTCCATATGCACAGAATGGACAAAACAATAGGATATTTATTTCCAACCTTGAAAAAAAATAATCCTAAACTAAGCTAAGAAAGAAAAAAACTATCACAAACTAAATTAAAAGGTATTTAAATGCCTTTTTTCATTTAAAATGACTTTGTTCTAGGCAAACTGAAATTATTTTGAAGTAAAAAAGTAAGCTCAGCTGTGTTGTGCACTGCTTCCATTAACCTTGCAATCAAGCATTAAATTCAATGCCCTGGTTTGGATTTCCCTGCTGGAGGGAAAAACGTAAGGTCTGTGCTTTACCTTACCAGAGTCAATGAGTAAAAGCTTCACAACTAAACTACAATTAATAGCATAAGGAACTAAAGTAGCTAGCATATTGCAAAAATTCCTCTGATAACTTTTTAATGATTAACCTCATGCTCACAGGTTCACAGTCTTTCACACTTGTTCTCCCATGCATTCAATTAACATCTGCTTTGAACAAGTTAAATAGAATCTTAATATGTTTTGTGCATGTACCAGTAGAGCAACTCAGCACCCCTACTCACTGCCTCACAGAATGAAGAAAACTATTTGATACTGCACAGTTTTATTCAACTCCTTTTCCTTATGCCCATTTTCACCCCAGAAGACACCTCAAACTAAGATTAAGGTCTTGTTTAGTCTGCACCCAGCAAGCAAAGAGGAGCTATTTTTAAATCATTGCCCTTCTCTCATCTCCTGCATAAGGTATTATATTCTAAATAAAAAAGCCTAAATCAAAGCAACACATCATAGTATCACCAGCTCAAGGATAATTTTTCTGCCACATGGAGTCTTTATCGTGTGTAAAGTCTGTCCCCCTCCAAGTGAACTGAAAGGATGATTTTAGAAGCTGAAACAAATGACAAGCTAAAGATTGCATTTCAGGAGGTCACAACCCCATTCTAGGTGTAATGCATTAAACACACAAATAATCCCTCTTGTCAAATGTTCCTAATTGGTGCCTGATGTGTGGTGCCTTCAGGAAAGGAGTTCAGCAAACAAGAAGCATTGCAAGCACAGAAAATATTGGATGGGGGAAGGAACCAATGACAGGAATGTATCACTGGCTCTCCAGAAAAGCAGTTACTTAAACAACAATATACTTTATCTTAGACAGATGCTGAATTTTAAACAGATACTTTTGCTACTGTGGCAATATTTGTTCAGAAGCCACAGCAGCAGAAGAGGATGACACTTGATTCATCTCCTGCTGCATCACAACACCCTCACCCACAGCACCAGCCATGAATGCTGGTTGGGTTTCAAGCTGCAAATTTCAGAAAGAGATATGAGCTCCTGGAAAAATCCAGGCATATTTTACAACTGGCAAGCACATGCTGACCTGTAATTCAAACTGAGCTGGGATTCTCTGGGAGGTTTTAGTTCTTTGGTTTACATTTGATATCCTGCTCTTTGCTAATATCACAAGGACACCAAAGCAGATTTAGTTCTAAATCCTGGCAGATTTAGATTTAGTTTGCTTAGAAAACAAAGCTAGATTTTCCATCACTTGTGTTTCCTCAGTCATATATGCATCACAATGAATAAAGTAATATTAAGCTCAGTCATGTCATGAAAATGACTTATACATAGCAAAAAGAGAAAAAACCTTTAATTCAGAAATTGAATTGGTTTGAATGTGCACCTCAAAATTAATTTTTTATACTTAAGAGGCCCCTCACGGAAGAAAATGGATACGGGTCCTTACTGCATCATCAGTAACACTGATCAGACTTTGAAAGGGAAAGAAGCAGCCATGGGCTGACCTCGTTAAAAGCAACAGTATTTAACCCATTTATATCAACATTAACAGAATATTTCACCGGGTTCTTTTGTGCCTGCACTCCCACAAATTATGGCTTTCCAGTTCTCTAATTCTTGAAATTTGGCCTTGACTGTTTACATTGAACCACTGGAATTGGAGAAGAATCAATGGACATGAGGAGAGAACTTGGTCCTTTCTGCTTCAAACGCCACTAAAACAGGAGTGCAACACTTTCTTGTGCTGCCTCCCATCCACAAAAATGCAGGGGAGATTCCAGCAAAACACTCAGGAGACACAAAACCAGCATTTCTCCCAACACCTCCATGAACACAAAACCTAAAATACTCTGGTGTAAGAGCCTGAGACAAGAGATGTGAGACTCCAGGTGGCTCTTCAAAATGCTGTTTATTGTATACAGCAGTCCAGGGTTGTGTATGACAGAGCCACGCTCCAGCTGTCTGCTCCAGCTATAGGCAAGCCTGAAGACCCTTTAGTTCTGGTTACAATGCATTATATATTTTTCTTTGCTGAGCATCTCGGTACATAACAACCAATCAGCATCATATACAACACCTTTACTATCACCTATAGGCTATCAAAACCACTATCATTACCATATTATGGTCAATACTATCCAATCACATGAGTTAGTATGTTACAAATATGAAATACTGTCTACTACCTGAGCCGAGACACATAGATAACTTTAATTGGTTTTTATAAAATGCAAAATAGCAGCAAAACACTACTCTTCAGCTATTTTTGAAAGCCATTATTTTTACCATTTGTACTGCACTTAATGACATTCTTAAGCTTAAAGTTGTTTTTCAGTTTTCTTGCAGTGGAAGATTCTTAGACTTTTTTTCTAATCGCCACATTGGCACATCTGTTTGCTTGTGGTATCTTTCTGCTTTTTCTAAGACCTATTTCTGCTTGATAAAAACATCTTTTTTCTTTGTGGTCAACATATTCTTTGCTCTAGTCATAAAACCTCCTTCCAAATCGACTTAACCTTCTGGACTGGCTTATAAGATAAGCATGTATTCTATTTGCCATCTGTTGGAGGTTGGGCAGTTTTCTTATCTCTTCCAAGAACAATGTCTCCCTCTGGAGAAATATCTTCTGTTAATGGACCATGGAATGACTCACGGCATGACTGGTAAAGTTCCATCATCCCACTGGGAGAAGTTCCACCCAGAGGGAGGAGCCAAGCATCCTTACCTGCATAAAATCAGCATTTTTGGGACACCAGAGCAGCCCCTTCACTGGATTCCCAGAGGAGCAGCTTCTTCTCTGCTGGATCCCCAGAAGAAGACCAGGCCCAACTACTCCATCTCCAGACCTTCAGAGAAAACTCCACCCTTCTACTGATCCCCACTCCAGCAGCATTTCATCTGCCCCTCCAGGAGGAGCAGCCACCATTTAACTGGACTATTACCAACACCCTGACTCCACAGGGTGTCAGGTTCAGTAGTTTTGTTTGTACTAATTATTTTTTTTTATTTAGTTTCTTTTTTTCTTGTAAAAAACTGTTATTCCCATTCCCATATCTTTGCCTGAAAGCCTTTTAATTTTGAAATTGTGGCAATTTGGAAGGAAGCTCTTGCCTTCCTTCACAGACTCCTGTCTTTTCAAACCAAGACACCTTTGCTTTCTTAGCTGTCCAGTAACGACTGGCTCAGCAATTGTCAATTTAGACATCTATTGCTGTTCTATAAAGACTTGCTTCCGTCTCTATTCCGTTCTCAGGTTCCACATTCAGAGAGCTTTCCGCCAGGCACACATACATGCGAAAATTCCTTTTAGAACAATCTTCCCCAACACTCTGGAGAAGCTGACAGCCCGGATGGCCAAGGGTGCTCAGCCCCTACCTGTCGGCGTCGCCAAGGCGCAGGGCCGTGCCGCGCTGCAGCGTCTCCCGCACCGTGGCCATGCCTTCGGGCAGCCGGTTCAGGCGCCGCGTGTACAGCCCCAGCCCGCCGTCCGTCAGGTACCTGACAACGAAACGCCGTGCTCAGTATGGCAATAAAATATTCACGTATCACAGCAGTCCCCCCGTTTTTAAGTTAAGGATGTTACACGGAATTAGAAGCAAGCAAAACGTCATTCTCGGTTACACAGGCGGTGTCCTCCGCTGTATTCTCCACTACACCTCGCATGTTCTTTCATCACCGAGACTTGAATTTCAACATAAATGTGATAAACGATACTTAAAGAAAACATAGCTTTCATCAAGGATACCTATATGGAAGTAATTTAATATTTGTGAGTCCTGTCATTAATGATCCCTTCTTGCCCAAAATATACATGGTTTGTAGCACTTTGAATTTTTCTGCATAGGCGCAATCAAAATTTCAAAATTTGTAAAAGTTAAGAGCAAAAATCACATTGACTTAATCCCTAGATTTTGTCAATGAACAATATACCTGAAGTATTCCACAACTTACAGAAATCACCATGGATGAAAATTTTTTTGCAGCTTTCTTTTGGTTCCTACATTCTACTCTGGCTACCACTGTGACCTAGAGACGCTTGCATTTAAAAATTACTATTTACTATTACTTTCTTAGGCATTAATAAGTGCCAGGTGTACATATGACACTTCAGAAATTGCTAAGATAGCACATTTCTTACCTTCTGGTTTAGACAAAATGAAAAATTAATGTTCAATTGAACATGTTGGGCAATGGCACGGAGCGAGCCCTGTGTTACTACCATCACTTATCAGCTCATGTAGGTGTACGTGAGCAGCACTGACAGCTGAGTGAACACACTGTGAAGATTTCCACACACCTGAGACTGAAACAGCTCCAACAGCCCATTTCCAGCACACTGCTGGATAAGCACCATACCCCACAGAGACAGGAGCTGACAGCACTGTATCTCCCCAGTCCCTTAGCCACTCTTAGCAAATCCACAGCAGACCACAGAGTAATATCCAGATACTCAGGACACCTTCCTGTGGCTTAAGACAGCACACAGCTTTCTCCCTCACCCACAGCAGGAAAGAAGAGATGCTCCAAGCTGCAGGCAGCAGTGTTTCTGCTGGTGAGACCTCACTGTGCACATGTGCTTTACCCAGTCCAAATCAGATTCCTACATTTATAAAAATGGGATGGTGAGCAGTTGGGAAGCCTTGCCCAATCTGCTGATTAGCATTGCAGTTCAGTGTATAGATCTGTACAGAGCCTTCCCAGCAGCAAGCCAGGAATCTCTGTAGAGTCTAACAAAGAGGTTGCCAAGCTCATCAAGTCAGACACAGGAGTATTCCCCATTCAGCAAATCTGTGGGGATTCTCCCAACTCACAAACAAAGACTGTAAAAAGCATGAGGAGCAGCTGCAGGAAGCAAGTAGAACTTGCCTTAGGTTTGGCATTCTAACTTGTGTTTGACAGTTTATAAATATTTTATAATGGAAGAATATGCTTTTTTCTTAAGCTACTAAAACAAAGGGGAAGGAGAGAAAAATGGAACTTCAGACCATAGTGTTACACAAACATGCAAAGAATATACTGCAAAAACATCTAATGTACATGCACTAATTGGTTTATTGCAGCTACTTGTCTGCACACGAAACAAGTTTCTGTATGAATACTCTTTGCACGTGTGCTGGAAAACGCAGCTTCTGGCTTTGCTGTCAGATTCCTGGCATATTGGTTCTTTGATAAAACAGATCTATTACAGCTGAAATAGATTGTTTTTCATACCTATCACTCAGAATATGTGGAAATAAATGTAGTACTCTTAAGAGTTAGCCATGCTGAAATCAATGCCTTTTCACCAGCATATTTCATCTTCTACACAGAAGCCCAGCAAGCTAAAAGATTAGAATAACACTGCAGTAGCTCAAATTGAAAACTGGTTTCAAGCACTGATAAATCTCACATGAACCAATGAAAGATTGATGGCTTTAGCACTTCTGACAACTAGATCATTACATTTTTCTAAACAAGTCCATGTGAAAAAGCACAGACATAAACAATGACTTTTACCCCCATACCAATAAGGCAAGTTTCTTACATGCCAGAACAACACAGGATAGACTTCTGTATTTTGAAACAGGCTTGTGTAATCACAGTTTGAAAGCTTTATATCTTTGTTTCATTTCACAAAATATCCTATACCCAAGAATGTTTAATTCGGAAAAGATGCCAAAACCAATGATGCCTGGAGTCCTGCATGCAACAGCAAGGTGAAGGAAGAATGAAAGGCTCTAGCCTCTAAAGTCTGTGGAGAAGAACACATTTAAAATAAATACACTTCTAAATAAATGAAAAAACCCTCATAATTATCCATTGGTTAGTTCAGAGGAGATTCAAAGCTACTGGTGCCACAAACCTCCAGCCATTGCTTTCATTTCTTTTCTCACCATCCCTTCAAACTTCAACTATCTTGGCTTTAAGAAATTATCTTGCCCTTATAAATACATGAGTATTGCTGCAGATTTTTGCTTTATGGGAAAGAAGAATACAATGAAGGCACATTTTCCTAAAGAAAATCTTCCAGTGTTTTACTCAGGGGGAAACAAGACAAAGGAAATATTATCCTGTATATAACTGTAACAGTACTCAGAGTTATTGGAATTTATTGTCCTATTACATCCACACAATGTGGAACCCAAGAATATTGGCTTCTCCTCTACAATGACATATTGCAGTTCAAACAACTGTACTAGGCCTAAGTGTGATTTATCTGACTTTTCATATTAAAAATCATTACAAAATTTACACTAAAAGCCTTGCTAGCTTCATGACTGGTAAGAATTCTGCAAGCACATTCAGTGAAAAACAAACAGGACTTAGAAGTATTCTTTTACCTGCCCCAAAAATAATAAAAAGTTTAAATATATTATCTAGCGGAAAGCATAGTATCCAGACTCTTTGATAGAGACAGGTAAATTGTACAAATAATTTAATCTCACAGATGCTTTATGAATGGTACCAACAGCCAGAGAGGAATGACTGCCTTTAATGAAGCTCAATATAACATTTAATAAATGGACAGTGAAACAATGATGAGGCTGGTTAAAAGGAGTTTCTGATCTTTCCAGGAATTAATGTACAAATACTCATCACTATAGCTTTGTTATTCCAAAAAAAAAAAAAAAAAAAAAAAAAAAAAAAACAAACCCAACCAAATTTCTGTCAATATGAAAAGACTCAGGTTAAACAAGAGCAGCATTATGCATTTCTAACATACAATTAGGTCTTCTAGCTCACTTTCTAGGTGACACTTTTTTGTATTAGAAAGTGGCTCTCTGCCCTGCATTACACGCATAAAGTAATTTGCTTTGGACAACCTGGACCTTTAAACTTCTCTTTTCTTTAGCCAAATACACCCTTTCTGTGCCTCTCAAATTTTGAGTGCAGTAACAAGCCCTTCCAAGTGTAATATTTTTAAGGTATTTCTGATGCTGAAGTGATTTATTCCCCTTTCCTGAAAGGCACACTGAGGAAACAGGAATGGGTCATGCCAAGGATCAGCAAAATCCAGTGTTCTGAATCACTTGACTCCTGTCTGCACTCCCTACTGACAGATGCAGCCAGCCAGCAGCACACTTACTCTTATGGTCTGACAACTCTACCACTTCATATATATTAATTTCACTCCTTCACGCATGAGTATGAATTTTCCAAGTTTGAAAATAGATAGTCAAGGGAAAAACATTATTTAAAGATGAGGAAGGGAAGGAGCAGCAGGTAAATCAGCAACACACAACAGACCAGGCAAGCCTACCCTGACCTGCTCTGGGATCCTGTAGCTCCATAATCCAAATCCCACAAGAAGAACAGCAATGTGACTGGAATGGGACCTGACTGTGGCAGCTCAGGTGCTCCTGCCTTCCTCTGGATGCTTTGGATTACAGGCTGGTGTGGAAAAAGCTCCCCAGGTGTCTCCTGGGCAGAACCCAGCAACTCAAAAGCTTTAACCTTGAAGAAAGAAAAAGCTCAAGGGAATTATTTCACATATCAACATTGGCTTTGACATGAGGAAATGTTCTCTTATTGATGTAGCAGTAACACTGTTCTCCTTAATGCTTTCCTTTAAATCTCCATTTTCACTAGGCTTCATGTGTCTCGTCATTAAAGTCAGTTAAACAAGATCAAGAGGCTTAACAAGCATTGAGTATCAAAGAACAACTCTGACTTTGCCAGTGCTAAAAACCCACAGAAGTGAGTTCCCCTGTGCTGTTTCTGAAATATGCTGAATGGGATCAAAACCATCCTGTTATTCCAACTATGAATATGTCCTAAATCTGATTTAAGAGGAAATGCTACCCTAACAGCTGGATGATGACAACTGCAAATTTCTCAGTTTAGTATCAATTTGATCTGCATTTTTCATCACAACACTGGCATTAGACCATGTGGGCTTTTCCCATGTTTATATCCCCCAAAGTCTTTCCAATCACTATTCTTGACTGACTTGAATCAGTACTTGGTAAGTACTTGATCTCTCTAGCCAAAGGGTTGGACACAGACACTGTCTACAAACCTGTGGTTGGTTTAAATTCCATCACTGATCCCTATGAACCTCAATAAGAACAGGATTAGGTCCTGAGGTTGCAGGTAGGGACTCTCCAACACAATGCCTAAATCCCTAATATTAGACCAAATATTACACTTCATATTCACAGAAAGGCAAACCTATTGCTCAATTAATAAAATTGAATTTATATTTAAGGTTGCCTATAATTTATAAATTAATAGACTTTTACCCATAATCAGTAACTATTTATAATTAACAAACTAATGAATGAACTATGAATTGTTTTGCAGATGCTTAACCCAAACATGAGTAAGAGCTGAACAAATTGCTTGCAGACTCAAAAATACTAATGCTGGAAAGGAGGAGATACCTGTTCTACCAACAGGTAAGACAGGAAAAATGAGAATATGCAAAACTTAGTAAGTATATATTAGTTTCATAGTTTATTTAGAGAAACCTCCCACGTGTAAATCACTAATAGCATAAATGGTGCTGCTTATTCAAT